TACTTGTGAAATGTCAAGGCTATTTCTGGAAAATAGCAAGGTATGGGTTATGTCAGTCTTCTCTGCGTCCTGATCCACCCGCCGATCCACCCGCCAGGCGTTCATCGAGAGTACAGAAGGCCTCAAGGCTTTATCTAAGTCGCTCGGGTCCCATATAGATACCCTTGAAGGTTCGTGGGTCAAGCTACAGGAAAACCGGACCGAGGCGCTGCCGATTGGACAACAGGACTTCATTCACGCGTTGAACGATTATATCAAGTAGGTTCTATTTTCTCATTCTGGGTATTCTATCGCTCAAATTTCGCTCAAGTGGCCTCAAGGATACACTCGAAAAGGTTGATGAGGCAGTAAAGGAGAGGGCCGCCAAAGTGCTTTTTCGGAAAATAGATCTTACTCGCATCGAACCTGGGGTTCTCGCAGCATATCTGGACGACATCGAGCGATATTCAAAGGCGTTTGAGGTAAGTTTTAGACCTTGCTGTTGGGAATCATGCCCTGATACTGATGGTCCATCGCAGGAGACAACGGCTGTATGCCACATGAATATACAAGCCGAAGGTAAGGACTGTTTGTAGCCGGTACGGATGTTAACGACGCCATATAGCACTGAAGACCGCACGACTCGGACCCGAGAGACCACGGCCAATGGGAACCCAGCACCAGGCTTGCCTGAAGGGAACACGGGAACCAATTCTACAGGAGATTCGCAACTGGAAGAATGCTCAAATCGTCGAGAAGCGTATATTCTGGCTATGCGATATAGCCGGATCAGGTAAATCTACTGTCGCGTACACAATGTCTCAAGAATGGGACGAGGAGCCGAACATTCTTCTCGGTCGATTCTTCTTCTCGAAGAATGCGCGAGACACTGCTGACACGGATTCATTCTGCTCGATTCTCGCGAGGGACCTAGCGTCGAAGGATCCAGAATTGGGCTCTGTAATCACTAATGCACTTCAGACCGATTCTCTCCTAGCCGAGAGAGATTTTAACAAGCAATTTCAGAAGCTCCTCGTAGACCCTTTGGGTTCAATTTCACATGATATTGTCTTCGTACTGGACGCGGTGGATGAGTGTAAGATCGAGTCACGCAAGCAGATGCTCCAAGTCTTGCTACAAAAACTCGCTTCTCTTCCCGCTCTCAAAATTCTCCTTACGAGCCGTCCCGAGTCGGATATCGTGAGTTTACTTCAGGATAAGGCAGTCGTTCGCGGAATGCATTTCGAAATGCAAGGTTCCAAGAACCAATCGAACATGACAGACATCATGTCGTACGTTGATCATCACCTTACCAATCTATTATCTAGCAGATACAGGCAAAGAATCGTAACGCAATCAAACGGGCTGTTCATCTGGGTCTCGACGGCAAGATTCGAATTGGAATTGGCGGCGGACAATCCGGCTCAGTTCAAATCTACTCTGGATTCACTTCTATCCAGGGGAGCTGGGGGCGACTTACAAAACCTATATCTTGGAGTAATTAATAGAGTACTCAGAGGGGAATTAAAGGACTTGATAGGTCGTATTCTTGGGACTCTGGCTATTCTACATGAGCCGGTCTCTATTACAAGTCTGGGAAGGCTAATGAATGCCAACGACGAGGATGTCGAATTTATAGTCAAGTCGATGAGGAGTGTATTTCGTTCAGATGATATCATTGAATTTCTTCATCCTACATTTCGAGAATACCTGCATGATATCCAAGGAACAGGGACCATCCCTGATGCCTACACATCCCATATCGATCTCGCGTTGAATAGTCTTGGAACTCTGCAACACGACCTCAAGAGGGATATCTGTCATATAGATAGACCCGAGCTCCCTTTCCCGGACAATGAGGAAGTTGTGGATCTAGACGACCGGTTATCAGCCCTCTGGCAATCTTCACCGAGCTTATTATACAGCTCGCAGTACTGGGCCTTGCATGCTTCTCAAGCGATACAAGATGGCTCCGTGATTCAGAGCCTAGACATCTTCTTGGAGACAAAGCTACTTAATTTGGTGGAACTATCGAGCTTGACGGGCCATTTACTTCGGCTTCAAGACGTGTTGGGACTGCAAGAAAGGCTTGCAGCTCATTGGCCTAATCACCAGGCGATCGAGGTCAGTCGTTTCATAATGATTAGATCTCTTAAATTCTCATCTTGAATGTATAGCTTTGCGAGGACATTTTGAGACTGGTGTTAAGCCATCAATCGCTGCTTGAGAAGAGTGCATTACACGTGTATAGATCGGGTTTACTATTCCTCCCTACACATACGAAATTGGGCAATATATACAAGAAAGCATTCGAATTAGATATACCAGAGATTCTATGCGGGTTGGACACCCATTGGCCACAATACCGAACACTGGCTGGGCACAGTGAAGCCGTTAGATGTTTCTCCATATCGCCAGATGGGACTCGAATCGTGTCTGGATCTGACAACGGTACAGTTCGAATGTGGGATGCAGCTACTGGTGCAAGCCTGGGAACCGTTATGGATGGTGACAGCGAAATTATTCACCTAGTGCACTCATCAGGAGGTTCCCATATCATCATTGGCACTGGGTCGGGTTATTTAGCAAAGTGGTACGGGTTCACAAGTG